TAATCAAATGTTTCTGATGTTATAAAATACTAAAATAATTAGGTTTTTTGTTACTTCCCACACAGACAATAATATTTGTTTGATAACTATTTCTAATTAACACCCACAAAATCACTTTACTCAAGGACTTGGACACCAATATCCAACACTATGCCATAGTAGCAGGATATCTGGGTAGCATAATCCCAACATAAGTGTGGTGAAATTCACTCAGAAAACTCTCCTGTATCGGCAACCAAAGCTACCTCATAAGCCTCTTACCCACTCCTGAAGCAGCTAGGCAGGAAGAACAAACTCCAAATCTTTCCATTTAACACTCAAAACACTTTTTGCCTCTACCGTGATAATGCTGCAGACCCCAATGCCATGTCATTCTGTCACACAGACAACATTGTCTGGTGCATGACAACACTGCACTGCATGAAGGCCTCAATTCCATATGATTTTTGGAAAACATGTTAAATTCATACAGGACATAGTGGAGAAACCATTTTTGTCCTTCTTTGCAGTCTCCTATCTCCCCTGCCACCCCATTCTTGAAACTAGCATGATCAACAAGTCGTTAAATATTTTTTTCCTAACAATCTAACTTACATAGAGCTTTCTGTATAAAAACGCACTAAATGTCCAATTTAGGTATAGAAATTCTACATTTTTGCCCACAAAATTGATGGTTCTCTCTTGCCTCTTTCCCCCAAACACAATTTAAACCCTTAAGTAGAAAATGCCTGCCTTGCCTATGCAATATTCTGCTTTCATCAGCCCAACTGCCTTCTGTGGCACACATGAAAACCAACCAGCCTCCTGCCTCCTTCAAGCCAATGGTGAAAACTTCAGTCCTCGTTTAAAACCCTCATCCAATGCAGAACATTTAAATCAGCCGGAAGCACCTCACATCTGTTCTCAAAAATACTGCTATTAACCTCCACTTCAATTTGATTATTAAGTTTATATTTGTTTCCCTAATCCTTCGCATAGATAAAGATGTATTAGCATCACGAGTCACAAGACACACTGGTACAGTGTTGTCTGAAACCCTGGGCTAGTTCAAGGGTTGGTGTGGTTGCCGGGGCCTGCCAAGGCAGCCACACTGTTTATAGTTCAGCTCTCCAGACACAGATTATTACATTTCAGACTGACAAATACCATATCCTGAAGGTTAGAGTCCTGTGACACTAATACATCCTGGCAGGGCAGAACAGCTGAGCAGGGGTGGTCTTCAGAATGGAGACAGCCTGAGCTTCTGCGAGACTGCTGAAGCATTAAGTTAAAGGTGTGTTTAATAAAACTGCTGCTTAGAAAGGAGCTATTTTTAGGAAATACTCAAATGAGTGTGTTCATTTGTCTGAGTAACACTCAAAAGACTGTCTTAAGTTGATCTAAATGGAGTAGAAGATAGATCAGGTTAGGATTTAACTCAGTTTAGCTCTTAATGCATAATTTAATAGACAAAAAGTTACTTTTCAAATTGAAAAACTGTCAGTTTCTGCCAACAGCTGGAAAATGAGCAAAAAAACTTGACTGAGCAGAAACAATTTTTGCACCGTCAAAGCTTTGTTTTTGCTAATCTCTGTTTAGCTCAAAAGCCCTATAAACACACTTGGAAGAAGGGATCTGTTAAAAATATACCACCCCACCCCTTCAATTAAGGGCTGAGAAGCTTATGACACATCTGAGAGATCCAACAAGAACAGGGAAGAAGCACTTAATGTTCCTGATATTTCTAAAGGTAAAAAAACCAAGCAGGTTTAAAAATCCCAAACATTTCATACCTCTGTTAAATGGTTTTAAAGCAAGAACTGATCCAAGCTATTTTTATTCCTTTGTAGGTCATCTGTAATTAACTGCTTATTTTCACAAAACCTTATTACAGTGTAAACATCACTGGCCAGATCATCCGCCCCACCCAGCCTGGGCTCCACACCACAGGAGGACAACTATCTCCAGAGCCCTTGTATCTGTGCCAGAGGGCTGTCCCTCCAGCACCAATCTGCCCTGCAACAGCACCACTGTGCCGAGCACACCTCCCCAGCTCACTCCTTTCCTAGAAACTGCCAGCACAACAGTTAGAGGCCTAATCCCTCTCATCTCAAACTATGGCCAAGTGTCACTTTTGGGATATCACTGAAACTCTCTAGGATGACATTATTCTCCCCCCTCCCTTGGGCACACAGCAATTAGCAGAAATGATCACTAAACCACTTGGGAAACAGGGGGAGGAAGAGGAGGGGAAAAGAGCCAGTTGGGTTGGCTCGAGCCACTAATTTAAAACAATTTGAGCCAGCCTGGTTGACTTTGCCTGTAGTGCTCACAGAACCCACTGTGCTGGCAGAGTGGCAGGAGGCCCTTGCCCACAGCAGGGAGCAGCCAGCGAGCAGGAAGGGATCTGAAAGCCATGTCCCTGTTTTTGGGGTGGACATCTGCACTCCCTAAGGCTCGGGGCACATTTTACAGAGATGGGCCCGTGGCAGACACACAGCCTGCTCCCAGCACCACTGAACAGAACCAGAGTAAAGGGCTACCATCCCAGCTCGTGGGGGGCCACCAGCAGCCCGGGGACTGTAGGGCACAGACGTCCTTTGACTCAAACAGGGAAGATTAAATTTGGTCCTGCATTTTGTACACAGGGTTACAGTCACTGTTAAGAATCTCTTATTCACATCAGAGATGTATATTCCATCCTGGCACGAGAAGCAGACGCATAAATCCCACGGCACACAACACATTCACAGTGTTTAAGATCTGCAGATGGAGCATGTGCAGGAGAAGGTTTTATGAACAAGAAATGCTGGAACAACCAATCGTCGTGCAGGGACAACACAGGTCCTGCCAGCAACGGCTTTGAATGCAGGCAAGAAACATTTGCTGTAGCCTGAATACAGAAGTTGTACAGCTGTGCCAGCAAAGTGGTATGTTTATCCTTTAGGGCAGATTTGCTTTCTACAAACAGCCTGCATTAGAACTGTATACATGCGGCGAGAGAGTTGAACATTTCACTCCTGTGCTGAATAAATCAGGAAAATCGGTCCCAAATAATACATCTTTCCTAACTAAGTGGGGGGGGGCAGAGGGGACCAAAGAAGAATGGCTGCTCAGTGATCAAGCAATATGAACCAAGTTGCCTCATGTATTCAGCTTTTTTTCTTGCTCTGAGCAAAACCAGCTTTTGGCTAAATGTAGTACTTAATAGCACACATACTTTAGTTGGCTTCCTTTTGTTTCTGCAATTTTAACACACACACTCGTAAGTTTACAGAAATTCTAGCAAACTCTACTATTCTTCGTGCCCTTACCTCATACATCTGACGCAGCCACTCAGACTAGGCCTAGCATCATGTGTAAGTTGAGAAATGAATCAAAATCAGCTATTTAAACACTTATGTATCCTGGTCTCAAATATCCCCCCTGAAACAGGAGATCTGTCCCACCTCTCAGCTAAAAGACCATATATAGTCACTGCTTGTGTATTTCCAGGGTTTGCATACAATCTAGAAGATTAAAAAAATGCTATAAACAGATAAAGACAGCAGGGGTGAATTAGTAGTTCAGACTGGTAAGCCACTGGACCATGGCAGGATGCCAGTGTGTCAAGACACTGACACCCACAAAAGTAATCCATGCCCAGCGTTTTGGGAGAAAACAGAGTAGCTCAACATAGGACTGAAAGAATGAGGTATACTTTAATAATCCCTTGTTTACATTCGGTCTGAGCAATTGCTTTCCACGGTCATTTGGAAGACTGTTGCTCAATTTTCACATCCATTCTTCTATCAGCATGACTAATCATACTAAACCCACCAAACTCCTTAGACTCAACAAGTATTAGGGCCATGAGTATTTCTTTCCAATTCCCGGGAGCAGCTGTATATAGTCACAAGTGTTTTTACAAAACTCAAGAAATATTTAGGGAAGTAAGAAAATGCATTTCCCAATCTGAAAGCCTTGTTCTGTATGCAGCCTCATCTAACACACTTGTGAAAGACACAGAAAGGATGACAATTAAAAGAAAGTCTCCATTCTCATGAGAACCCCCCTGCTTCCTGCCTCGCCACTTCCTGCTCTCCTCCCTCTCACCCTATCCCGTGCCACCCATGGCAAATCCTACTTTTCCTGTTCCTGGAAACCTTTCAGACACACAAAGTATCACTAAAAATACCATATGTGATAAACCTGGTATAGAAACTGAGAATAGCCTTCCCTTAAAAGAAAACACCTGCTATCATTAGACAATACAGGTTTCCAAAGATATTTTGACCAATTCCAAGGGAAAAAAATACCCTCCCCTTTATTTTTCCCTTGGCTGGAAGGTTAGTAGCTGCACCACAGAGCAGGAACACTTAATTTTGCTGCCTCTGTTTGTAATCAGAGCTCTGACAGACCCAGACACCCTACACAATTGATTAAACAAGAGAAAAAATGCCATGTTTTACATAGTTTTTACATATCTTTGTTCTAAATGCTAAAAACCTGTGAGACATTCATCTCATCAAGAACAAGCACACAGACAACAGCACAGCAGCCTTCAGTGATACAACAAAGGACAATTTAAAACAAACGACTTGGAGCAAATGCTATCACTGAATAATCCCACGGCAACTGTCATAATTAGTTACCTCCAATCTCATCAGAATCAGGGAAGTTAGAGTTAAAATCGAGCTCTCTTCCTGTAACATTGTGTAACTCCAAAACAGCAGCATTTTTTCCTCGCTATTTTAGATTTAACATTTCTCCGTGAGATAACGTGGAACCACTCGATCCTTCCACGCCAGAACACCCGGTGCAAACCAACAGATGACAAAAGAAACTCGGTCAAGTTTGAGCCTCTCGGCACCTTATTTCCTGTCTAAAGAGCCTTTTGTTCTGCTTCCCTGCATAAATGTTAATGCCCTGCCATCATTAGGAAGCCGAGCGGCGGGGGAAAGCCCCACCGCACGGGAGCTGCGCTGCCCGGGAGGGCGGAACGACGCCACGCGACGCGATTAGAACCACAAAATTCCTACCAACAGAATCTCCACAAGGTTCTGTTCCTTCGCCCGAGATTAACTTCACTTGGAGCTGCACTTCGGCGCAGCCTGCCCCGCGCGGCCCCGCCCACGGCGCCCATTGGCTGGCGC